GAATTCGAGGCGGAAATGGCGCGTGCGAGGTGCAAACCGAATTACAGGCGACGAGCCGGACTCAGCCGTAAGTTATCGTTTACCGACGAACTATTTATTAATTAAAAAATACGTGAGTTATCGTTTATCGACGAACTGTTTATTAATTGAAGAATATGGGTCTATTTTTCTAGTCTTCATCGTGAATTTTCATTGATTAAAACATTTTTTTTTGTGCCCAGCCGAGTACAAGCCGGAGAGCCGGGCTCACATCCGAACAGAGGCGTTGGTCGTTACTCGGGTAATCGGTGGGAAGGAACCCAACGACTTCAACAAAATGCCGGGATGCCTCAACGGGCCCAAGGGTTTCACGGTGGACCCCGACGGGAACATCGTCGTCGCCGACTCTAGCAACCACCGTGTCCAGGTACACTACAATTATTTGCAAGAGTTTATCATCTCTCGCATTTTATTGTTCGGAAGAGAAGAAGAACCTCCCGTTTCACGTACAGTATTTATAACGATATCGCATTACAAAGAAATAATTGATTGGTCGAAAACAAGGTGTTCAACGCTGACGGGGTCCCGGTGTTCGTGTTCGGCGTGGCGGGGAGGAAAGAGGGCCAGCTCAACATGCCGGACAAGGTGGCCGTCGGCCTGGATTCCCGCGTGCCAGGCGGAAGGGTGTTCATCGTCAGCGACCAGATGCACGAGCTCGGTGGCCAGGCCGTCGTCCGACGACATCTACACCCGCACCACCAAAACTACCACGTGAGCACCGCTCGAGCCGACCGCATCCAGATCTTCGCCCGGGACGGCACTTTCCGAACACGACTCTCCGCCCCGTGAGTCATCTCTCGATCGATCAAGTAAAATCATCATTTATACGCAGCCAGAGTATACTTTCCACAAAAAGATTTATTGTGTTCGAATTTTAGATTTCAGGATTATGGGTAGTCCACATCGCAAGAGTGCAAGAGGCATTCTCCAAGCTCATGTGGTTTTCCAGTGAGAAAATGTCTGGATAACTCTGCATTAGGCAGAAAAGATATGGACGAGGCTCAATTTTAAACTTCTGAAGATTGCGCTGTTTTCTTAGCAACATTAAACCTGAAAGCCAAAGCACTTTTGAGGATTACAGTATAGTTACTCAAGTGCCATGCGCATCTTTTTTTCTCTCAAATTTGAGAGGAAAAAGGGGTGCATGTAATAAGTTTACCAGAAGAACTCATTCCACTGGAAACTATTGAAAATTAGTGGAACACAGGTTCGAATCATGCCTAAATTCAAATATTGGTGTCTCAATTTTTTAAGTCTCGTGTGTTTTAGAGGGACGAAAAATGGGGTGCACATCTTACTTGAGGGCGCGTCTCAATCTTCGTGAACTGATGGAAAGATCTCGAAAAGTGTCTTAACATGCTTCCATTATTCCTGATTGAATTAAGCAACAAGAACTTGTCGCCTGAAATTGAGTTTCTTATTTTTCCCCCCATGCAATGACGATGCAGTGAAGTTTTGAGGATATCAGGCATTGAAACGCACGGAGAAACCATCTTCATCATCGATAGCGAAGTGAACAAAGTGTTCGCCTACAAGCACGAACAGCACCTCTTCAGCGTGAACTTCGCCAAGAAAATTCTGGAAATCTCCGAAATTTGTATTTCCGGTGAGTAAAACTTTTTTTTTCTCGAGGTAAGGAATAGAGAAGCAAATTTTTTAGGTTTTTCCCCATTTTTTTTTACTTTTCTCTGTATTTCTTCGCACAACTGTAACTCAATGATCGTCTTTCGAGTGTCTCAACTTCAAGATACAGAAAAATCAATGCGCAGAAGAAAAACTGCAGGAACTGTGATCTTTTGGCATCACTAGAAGCGCAAGAAGCAAATAACAAAAACAAGTTTTACTATTTGCTCTGTAGATGGAAAAAACTCCAAAAAGAAGCACAAAATTACCCCTCTTTGATTATGAATTTGAGTTCATTTATGATTAAATACAATTTTAATATTTGTGAATATAAAGTGTTTCGATTTGTTTATAGGATATATCCAAATTTTGAGAAATGATTTTTCCTTTTCTTCTATAAATATTATAAAAGATCCCTGACATCAACACATTGTTCGGATTTCGGGCAGCTTTTTGAGTTTCGAGTGTTCTTATGTCCCTTTGTGTCTTAAAATCGTTTAAATCTCAGAAGACCGTAAAAATATCTCCAAGTAAATTAATGTGCGTTTTTATTATTCTCCTTCCGCTTCTGTGCCAGTTCATCAGCGCTCATTGAAAAGTTTATTTTCACGCTGCTGAGAAAAAAAAAAACCTCGAGTATTAAGCGTAAAACTGCTGTTGGTTGACAAACCCTGGCTTCGGATAATAAACCAGAATCTTTCCCATCAGGCAACCTGATGTACGCCTGCGACTTCAAGCAGCACGTCGTTCACGTGACGAATCTCGACACGAAGACGAGCATCACGGCAGTTGGCAAACAAATCGTGTCTTACCCGAACGGGGTTTGCGTGGACCCTGCAGAAGGAATGCTGTACGTCGCCGACTCTCACGAGAACTTCTTGCGCATATCCGTGTTCGACCTGGACAACTACGGCTTCATTCAGCAGTTCATGTACTCTGCCGACAGGGTGAGCCACGTGTTCATTTCCCGAAAATTTTGAATGAAGTTGCTTTAAAATTAAAAAAAAAAAATCGAAGATGAACGAAATTCTGGAACCCCGCTTTCATTTTCGTTTGAGCCTATTAAACTCAGCTGTTCAAAATTTCCTCGACAAATGGAATGAGGATGAATAAATGAATCTCTGTGATCTTCTTTCAGAATCGAAACGTTTCAAGAATTACGTTGGAATGGGCATTTTTACTTTAGCTCAAAATGAGCGTCAAAACACGCATATATTTTGTTCGAGGACGCGAGTAGAGGATAAATAATAAATATTCGTATTGTGATAGTTAAAAACCGGAATTCTAAGTCTTCGTAGAGCCCGCACTAATTACAGTCAAACCTTTAAACCCCAAACCTCCCTATGCATTAAATAACTCCTTATGTCTAATTTTTCAAAGTCTCCATCTGAATTTCCTCAGAAACAATGCATCAATAATTGCCCTAACTTAAAAGTTTCCGACTCAAACCTCCATTAAAAAATTTAAATTAATATGTTTTGAGAGAGAGCGAAAGTCTAATAGGGCGAATGAACCCTTGCATCCAACAGCAGCATCCTGTCAACTAAATTTAAAAATCAATTAAAGTTCCCAAATATCCCGAATTACAATTCCCTGTAATTCATCTTTCTTTCCTTCAACAGAAATGCTTGTTTCCCTGACTTCTAACTTTGAAACGTCGCTAACTGTAATTTTTGTTTGCTGGTCCATTGAAAAATACGACTTGCAGAGATTTGGCTGTACAGTAGCTAGGAATTCACTGGATGTTTCTTTGATCGTCAATAGGTGTCGCACGTGATTGGGCTCAAGAAGATTCCTGGAAAACGAGAGCTCGTCGTCCTGAATCGACCGAGCAGGAGCATCACTGACATTGCCGGTTATGTGTTGGTTTTGCAGCAGCCATTGCCGATGCGAGGACAACAGCAGCACTTTTCTGCCACGCTTCCAGGCAACGTCGTCAGCGACATCTATACTCCGATTCCTCGATCAAATTCAACGACGTGCTTTACTCTAAACCCGGATTCGAACATATTTACGCCGATTCACGTTCACAAGGTGAGGGGTGTATGAAAACGATACACCAGTCTTCAGGATTTTTATTTTGAATCTTCCATTCCGCAAGATGAAAGTCACATAAATGATATATCATATCTCGCTGTTATTTTTACGGCACTTCGCTCCGCGGAACATATCGTCCATTCCGCACAAAATAACGAATAAGTACTGTACAGTACTCAGAAACGAGGAAAGGTCAGAAAATAAAAAAGTAAAATCTCGTTATGACGAAGCCATTAGGACCAGTAAAATAGCTACGTTGTAACGAAAAATTTCGTTATAAAGGAATTATTTTAATATTGTGGCTATCGGGCAGGGACAAGGTCAGAAAATAAAAAAGTAAAATCTCGTTATGACGAAGCCATTAGGACCAGTAAAATAGCTACGTTGTAACGAAAAATTTCGTTATAAAGGAATTATTTTAATATTGTGGCTATCGGGCAGGGACAAATAAATACTTCGTTTTGATCGATTATTGGTAGAAATGAGATTTTATTCCTTATATATTCATCTGCTTCATACTCCTTCCTGTGTCGCCGAAATTTTTCGAGAGGAAATTCAAACGAGTCGTCTGCTATTTGCTTCAGGGTCAGCTGACGCGAAAGTGAAAATTGATTTCAGCACGAATCCATTATTGTGGGTATATAACCCAATTTCCTAGGCCCTATAGGGTACCTCTGTGTGAACAGTCATTGCATTCTCATAGGGTACTGGTGAAACCAAGTTATTACGACACCAGGACATGATGCAGGACCAGCAGCAGCAGCAGCAGCGAGAGAACCTTTTCACGACGCCGAAGATGTTACTGCAGGCGGCATCCGCCACTCGAGCCGCAGCAGCAGTCGAGTATCCGTGCTGGTCCAGCATGTCCGAGTCGCCAGGGTCGCCGACGAATAAAACGAGGGATACGCCGTCCCTGATCAATTTCGACTACGTTGACGATGAAGACGACGACGACGAAATGTTCCGTCGGTTCGCGCGGGAACTGTCACCGGAATCAGCGGCGCCGAACTCAATGGAAAGCGCTTGGGCTTCCGGTGGTCATCCCAGAACTGGCCCATGTGGCAGGTCCGTCAGTGGGAATCACGGGGCTGCTAATACGGGTGCCGCGGGTTCTGCTGCAGGGAGGCCAGGTAAAATTTCCGCGAATATAAATAAATACAGTATCACAGTTTGGTATACTCAGCTGCTGAAAAAGAGGAGGGATTACTTTTTTCTTCATGCTGCGGAAACTCTCGATTCCCTCCGAAGTCTGATGAACATGTGCATGTGCTACTTCAGGGCAAAAACACATGGGCATGAGACTAATGTGTCACAAAATAACGAACGTCTGGACGAATGACTGAATTTAAAATATGTTGAAAATAACGCATATCAAAATTTAAATTTTGACTTTAGTTTCAGTCGAATTAAAAGTTTATTTTCCATCATTTCCATTTTTTAAATTTCCCATCAGAATCAAGCATGATGTGCACGAAAGCTTTACAAATTTTAAAAATGTTATCCCCGCCTACGACGCGCACCCTCTTTTTCCAGTTAATGTTGAAGAAAAAGATGCTCGTGGTACTCAAGTAAATACAGCACAGGATACATATGTGATGTATACAGGAGAATCTCGTTTTAATGAATCTGGTTATAACGAATTAATACTTGAGACGAATTTGTTTCCAGTCCCTGCTGTCCAATAACCATAATGTTATTTCAATTTTGTTCCAACAAATTCTCGTTTATAACGAAGCGTTTTTAAGGTCCCAAACTTTTCGTTGTAATAGGATTCTACTGTACAGTATTTTAGTTTGACACTACAGGAGGATTTGCTGCTTGCTATAAAACTACTTCAGAAAAGATTGTTTTAAGAAATTTGTAACCATTTAAGCCCCTTTGCTGAATCCTGTCTCATTTCATGATAATTCCACCTTGTTCGTCAAATAAAAGGTTGCCACAAACGACTGGATTTCGGCCCGGAACATTTCAAATCTCCAGAAAACTTCGGAGACGATGATGACCCTCTTTTGAAGGGCATCGGTACATGGGAAGATTTCACCAACGAGCTGCAGCACCGGAACTCTGAAAGGTACTTGGGAGGAGACGACAGCTGCGACCTCAGCGCCAATTTAGAAAATCTCAAAATCGGCCAAGAACATTCCACGCCGAATGCCCACATGTGGAATCGCTACGATTTCCAAGAATCCGTCGACAATGATGATTCCGCTGAAGGAGGGACGCAGAATACTCGTATGTCCGTCATAAAGGAGCAGTACGCCTGGTCCGACCAAGACAGAACGGATAAGTAAGGGTGATGAACGTGTTTCGATGCTAATCACGTGGTTGTTGTTTTTTTTGTGTGTGACATAACTGGAAGGTGCCAGGCTACTTCTGAGATTAAGCCACAAGTTCATTTCAAATACGTTATTTACTCAGGTACAGTGCCACGCGCGCGCCGTCGAATAGGAAGGGCACAGGGGGTTTTCTGGTAGAACATTTTTTTATAAAATCTTATCCACAAGTAACACAGGTACCACATTGTTAGTGAATTTAAGACCACAAAATTCCAAAATTAAGTTCAACAAAATTTTAAACTTAGTCACAAACTGAACGGGAATTACGGTAGAATAATTTTCAGTCGTTTCCATCAAAATAAGTTATTGAACTTTTGGTCCGAAATTTCCGATTAGAATAAGGCAGCCCAAAATTTCTAAAACTTTTTGAAAAAAATGAATACAGTATCTGCTTATGATGCGCANAAAAACATGGTAATAATAAAAATTTGGGTGCCATCTATAAATGGCATTAAAAACACTCACTAACTTCGAATAAATTCAGAAAAAAAGATAAATCTGATGATTGTTACAGCAATTCAAAATTTTCAAATTCTAGAGTTGGTATCAAAATTTCAATTGTCAGCGCTGGTATAATTTTTGTTAAATGAGCAAAGATGGCTGTATTTTTGTGAAGTACTGTAATGCTTTTTTTTTAAACAAAACTCTGAATGCTTGCTCATCCTAGTCATCCAAGCTTAAAAATGGATGAAAAAGGACAAATATAGCTATTATAAGTTTCAAATGTGGAAATTAACACATGCAGGCAGCATCAAGTTGCGCCAAAAATTTTAGGCAAATATTGTTGACACATTTTGTTGGTAAAAATATCTCAGAAAATTTTCTGAATATTGACACAGGAATGTATTCTAAGATTATAGGGAATTGATTTGAATTATTCGGATGGATTATTTTTTCTCGTGGAAGGGAGTGACAATTAATTTGCAAAGAGAAACTTTTCCAATTTAAGGCTTCAATTAAGAAAAAATAAGCAAATGAGCAGAGCACTGAAATCAGTCTTGTAAACAGTAGAGTTGTTTAAAATCGGTTCTGACAGTGCAATCCAAAGAACTTCATTTCATGTAAGTACCAAAAAGCTGATGATCCTTCCCTTACACATTCCTGTTTTCATGAGTCAGATAATATGTTGTATGCTTATAATGTTACTGTATAGGAATGGTTGAAGCATAGGCATGCAGAGTTTTTAGCAATATGTGAAACTTTTATAGTTATTCATTCATTTGCCTTACGCTTTCTGTGATGCAGGGTATCTTGCTTTCAAGCCTTGCAATTTGAATAAGAAGTATTTTCAGATTTTGCGGCGCTGTCGTCTCCACATCTGTTTTCAGGCGATAGGCCACTCTTAGAAGTGCTTTTCCGGGTTTCTGCAAAGTTTTGAATTTTTATGAATATTGAGGGTTCATCTTTGCCTGAGGCTATAACGAGATCTGATCAAAGAATGTGGTGAATTTTTCAACAATTTAAGAAAACAATAGTCACAGAAAAGCAGCCAAGTTTCATGGATATTTGGATGGTACAGTATTATAATAGTGTGTCCCAAGTTTAAACAACTTCTTTGAGTCACTTTATTGTGCAACTCTTTCACCTGATGAAGATTAAAAGTATTGTGTATATTTACGGACATCTAGATTACTATGAAAACTTATTTTTCTGAAATCATAGATTAATTTCTTGATATATTAAGTTTTCTAAACGTTTCATAAAATTATCAAACAAAAAATACATAGTACAGTGAAACCAAGTGAAAACATCCAAAAATTGATTTGTTGTGCTAAATCTTGAGAGATAAAAAAAATCTTTATTACACTACTTATTTTTTACGGACTACTAATTTTTTTTAATTTAGTTGGAAAGAAGTAACCTCGACGAGATAAATATAATCGTATAGTAGGTGGTATAGTGTCATAAACTAGTCATCTGTTGTGTGACAGAAATGATCTTGAGTGTATACCAATTGCTCTTCTTCCATCTCCTCCTCATCTTCAAGTACATTGTCCACCGTATGGCAGCCTTTGGCAGGTCTCTTGAACCCATCAGGTCTTCCAGTATCACAGATCTCACGTTCAATAGCTGCCTTGGCAAACTCATTTAGAGCCTGACACAGTGGAGAATGCAAAATTCAATATATTATAGTGATGGGGTCTCAAGCAACAAACCTTATATTGGTTCCAAATCAGTTCAATCATCAATCTAGACATTTGTCATACAATATCTGAGGCGCAATTTCTAATAGCAGTTGAACCTCTGTAAGTCGAATTTCTAGGGACCAGGAAAAAAATTCGACTTAGGGAGGTTTCGACTCAGGCAGGTTTTGAATTAAGGAAAAAAAAATTCTTGCTGTGAGGATTATTAAAAAAAATTGCAGGAAATTGTAAATTAGGAGATTCTGGGCCTAAACTTGCCTCTTGCTGAGTTTATACTGTGCTGAACTTGGAGGCATTTGCTATATTTGTCTTTCAATTCCTACCAAGATGCATCAAATTATTTGTTTTAATCATTTTCTCTCTCATATTTCACAGAAATAATAACCAGAAGGCCTCAGAAAATTCGACTTACAGAGGTTTTAGAAAAAAAGAATTCGAGTCAGGGAGGTTTTCAATGTATTGATTTTAAGGGAATTTGGACAGGGACTTGAAAAAAAATTTGACTTAGGGAGGAATTCAACTTATGGAGGTTTGACTTATTGAGGTTCACCTGTACAGTATAGCAAATTTTTAGAAATCATTTGATCATGCAGTCCCAGAGCAAGATTAGATCAAGGTAAAATTTAGAATATGAACTCAGAAACTTCAAACGCAAACAATATAAATAAGCCTACTGCTCCTCAAGTAAGTCATTTTCTATAGGGCATAATATAGTATACAGACTCAAAGAGAAAAATTATCATATAAAATGAAAGACGTATAGTAAGCCATATTCATCATTTAAAAAAAAATCATGGTATATTCCAATTTATTGGTCACAACAGTTGGTACTACTTTCAGAGCCTACCAGTTTCTATACACGTATAAGTGTAATATCTAAAAGGGATTTTTAACAAGGGCACCTTCAAGTCATTTGACAAACACTTATGCTTTGAAAAAAATATCAATAATAATTATTGCAATAAAACATTATTTTGTAGATCCCTGTCCAATGTCCGCAATGTTATTTGAATTCTTCATACAGGTGTACTTTCTTTGCAATGAAATTCAGGGCACCAGAAAAAGGATTTTCCAGAGGATTTTGTTGTAGAGAAGCTTCATAGCAGGGGGAGAGAGCCCATACGAGGTATTTTGAACCAGGAAAAATTCGTTATTCAGATAAAATTTTTGTAAAAGAGGTCTTTGTGGAAAGAGTCCACCGGTAACCCTTGTCTGTCTTGCGGAAGATATTTTCCTGCTGGACCCAAATAATGGTTCTGTTTTAACAAGATTTTACTGCGTAGTGGAGTTTCTTGACAAACCTTCCGGTATTTGTTCATAACTGTGGTGTCTTCTGAAAAGTAAGTCAGAGGTGGTTGTTGCCTCAATTTTTTGACATTCTGCTTTGCAAACCGGATTCGTATTTTCAAAAGCTGTTGGAATGTGCAGATCTTGACCATCTCCTCGAGTTCTGCTACATCTTGTTGCATAAAACTGCAAACTCTCTGTCAAAAACAAAAAGTAGCCTTCTGAATGAGGCTACGCATTTATAGTATTGATGCGATGGAAGAGCCTTATTGCAGCTACGTTTGATGATGGTTATTGTCTGAAATTATTCTATGCCATTGGAATGTATGTATCATAATATAGAGATACAATTTTCATGCTAGCTGCACAAACAATGGACCAGAAAAAACCTTACGTTTATTCAAAGTGAATTCTGCTGAACAAATGAAGCATACACTAAATGTTGGACCAATTGAAGTTTATCCAATAATTTTAGTAATTATTTCTGAATGCATTGCTTTGACAATACAGTACTTTATACTGTCTCATGATGGAAAGCTATTCAGAAATGATCAAAGGCTTTTCCCACAGTCTGTCCAGTAACATGCCCTGGTGAACAATATTGAAGAAAAACATGATTTTTAAAAATCTGGCACAATATTTTATGGTACTTCACCTTTTCCTCTTGAAGAATTGCGGCCAAGATGCGAACTCTGTCCAGGTCCTTGGACCCGCATATTTCTGGTTCCTTGTTTGTGCTTTTGTTAGATCCACACAAAATTTTTCCAGTGTTGGCAGAGCACCTGGATTTCTGGTTTGCTGACTGAAATACCACTGGGTTGCTATAGGAAATTTTCTTGCGGGCAAGATGCAACTCAGAGACAATAAAAATTCTAACAAGAAGCCTGCTGCTATGTAGTACATGAGTACAGTAATAAACTTAAAATAATCTGGGGTTCCAATCCAAATCCCATGATAGGCCATCAACTGAATCATGAAAATCTATAACTAATCTAATATTTCTTGCAGCAGATGAAAGTATTTTTGAATATCCACTATTTTGTCATTTTTGTGTGCTAATCAAACATTTCACCTCTTTAATATTGTTGACTGAAGTTTGTTCTCTTCCATGTTCCACAAAGCAAAAATTAATGTAAATGGAATCTATGCATTACATTTGAGTCATATGCTTCAAAAGACTTAAACTCCTATCCTGTTGTTCAAATTACTGTATTTAAAAAAGGTTCATCATTTTCAAGATCATTCACTTTTATTGTTTGCATTTCCAGCAGAGCCTTGGAAATACTGAAGGAGTATTAAAACATGATAAATAACTGAGAAGTGAAAAGTCCTTATATTGAAGGTTTCTCTTTTTGAAACATGAATGAAGGATAGAAACTCATCTCAGGCACGGAGAAAAACTTTTCAATAAACACTTCGGGAAAGTGAAGCTCCACTAGAAGATTATGATTGTAATTTTCTATAGCAATTTCACTTTTTGTCTGAGGGAATCATTGTTTTCGGCGCAGTCTAATCCGAAGCAAGAATTCGTTGACAGCTCAAAGGTATATTTAGAAAAAATATGCTATTATTACCAAAGCGTCTGTTAACTGAGGTACAAATGTACAATATAGTATTATATCAACTATTACCGAGTTTTCGGAGGGGTCGTTGGTGATCATGGAAGAATTTGTTGCATTTGCTTCAAAGAATCCGTTGGACTGCAACGGAATCAACTTGGAGGTGTTCTGTGAGTCATTGCTTGCGTTTATCTGTAAGCTCATCACAGCGTTTGAGCTGGATTCGTTCCCGGCAAAATTCTGAGTGCAGTTTGAGGCAGATTTCTTCTGAGTGGCTGCATTCACCTGCTGTATTGGGCTCAAGAATGAACGATTGGAAGTATCCAGGTCTTCCGAGGTACATAATATTCCACCATTTTCAATGACAGCCTCCACATTCTCATCCCAAATGGCGGCTGTGAAGGCGACTTTCAATGAAAATGGCGGAATTCATAATCAAGTGAGGGCAGCAGCCCTTGGAATTAATGATACGTCAATTTCAACAATTCTGAAGAGAAAGATGTACACCAAAAAATCTGCGAGTTGGGCGCCTCATCTTTTGAGTGAAGAGCAGAAAGCTGCCTGAGTGACATGCAGAATTTTTCTGAAAAATATGTCAACCTGGGCTGAATTTCTTTTTTTTTTTACCTAAGAATGTTTTCTTCTCAACATTATTGTAATTGTTTTTCAGCTCAATCAAGTGCCGTTTAAATTTATATCCCGAGAACTTTTGTTAAACTCATTGTATATATGCTTTCTCTCAAATCGTAATGAATTTTTTCAAGAGACTTTGATTTCGAGCCTTCAAAAACACATACAAGTTCATGCATTACTACTGTATTCCCTAAGCGGATACATTCATCTTAGACTCTGAAAATAAAGCTTTTCATTATTAATATGGTCATTCATAATAGAAAGGCTTATTCATTTACTGAATTGTAGAATTGACAGATTCAAGAACAGTCTTTCGAAGGCTATATACCTGTGCTAGATTAGCACCAAATATTCCACAAACCTTTCTCGGGCTTTTGTTTCCATTTGCCTCACCCTTTGAAAGTCCCATGTTGCAAGTAGTTTTTTGTTTCCGAGTCGGTATATAAAATTCATAATAACTTTGTTAAATGAAGATTAAGTTTGTCGTTATCCAATTTATTTGATAGATCCTTCGTCTTATCAGTTCGTTGGTATTCTTCCCTGAATTCTGAAAGATTAAATATCATGGATGAAGAAATGCGTTTTTTTTCGCAGTTTTATTCCAAACTCTTACGAAAATCTGAACGAACATAACATTTTGATTTTGTATCGGAGCTTCAGATATTTTCTCGGTGCCATTGAGGTATTTGTAAAAAAAAAAAAACAGGTTAAACCCCTTTTTCAACCTTTCGTTCCACCGTGTCCGCTATTTTTTGCCGACATAGAATATCACGAGTTCGTAAATCGCAGTAATTACCCAAAGCTCGAGTTCGTTTTTCATGGAATTCCATATCGAAACATACAATCGCGGCTTAAAAAGATTTTTTCTTTGAAAGATCATTCGGTAAAACTTTCTCTGAATGGCCTCGAAATGCTCACGAATTTCATTCCACGAAGTAACAAAAAAATTTCAAACCACTGCGAAAAATCGGAACAACTCTCACACATTGAAATTCGAAATAAAACGCATCACACAAAACGTGACGGAGATCTCTGCCCGTTCTCATAGCAAAACCAACTCAGTATTAACCAGAAATTTCCACAGTTCGTACAGTATAACTGTAAATTTCGAATGCATAACCCCACCTTATGGCCTCGGGAACCCTACAAACATCAAGGGTTTTAAAACGAAAAAATCTTGCCCTAGGTCGTGAATGAAACTGAAAAAATTTGAAAATCACGGGAAAAGCCTCTATATTTGTCGAGGGTTCTAGCGAACGATGCGCTTTGAAAGATAAAATAAATCATCGAAAATGTTGGGAAATTAGAAGCCTGAACTGTTTCTAACGCCAATTGAAATCAAACAAAGAAAATATCCGTAATCATAAAAAAAATACAAGGAAAATCTCTTTTAATTGGGCTTATGACCAAACGCCTTTTTCAGTCAACAAAATCCCTTTAATTGTACTCGACAAAGAGTAAAGAGCAATAAAATTGTAGACGCCCTCGAATTAATAAAATAGCTGAGCTGAAAAATATGCTCTGAAGTCAGCAAAAAATTGAGTTCTGGACATGAATGTTTTCGGTTCCAAAGGTTCGGGCACGGTGAATTGAATATTTGATGAAGTACCAACTGCATCCATTGCATACGTATCTACTCAAGTACCACACTCACATTTTTTCATCAAATTTGAGAGGAAAGGGGGGGGGGGGGGGTTGCGCATCATAAGCAGATACTGTATTCATTTTTTTCAAAAAGTTTTAGAAATTTTGGGCTGCCTTATTCTAATCGGAAATTTCGGACCAAAAGTTCAATAACTTATTTTGATGGAAACGACTGAAAATTATTCTACCGTAATTCCCGTTCAGTTTGTGACTAAGTTTAAAATTTTGTTGAACTTAATTTTGGAATTTTGTGGTCTTAAATTCACTAACAATGTGGTACCTGTGTTACTTGTGGATAAGATTTTATAAAAAAATGTTCTACCAGAAAACCCCCTGTGCCCTTCCTATTCGACGGCGCGCGCGTGGCACTGTACCTGAGTAAATAACGTATTTGAAATGAACTTGTGGCTTAATCTCAGAAGTAGCCTGGCACCTTCCAGTTATGTCACACACAAAAAAAACAACAACCACGTGATTAGCATCGAAACACGTTCATCACCCTTACTTATCCGTTCTGTCTTGGTCGGACCAGGCGTACTGCTCCTTTATGACGGACATACGAGTATTCTGCGTCCCTCCTTCAGCGGAATCATCATTGTCGACGGATTCTTGGAAATCGTAGCGATTCCACATGTGGGCATTCGGCGTGGAATGTTCTTGGCCGATTTTGAGATTTTCTAAATTGGCGCTGAGGTCGCAGCTGTCGTCTCCTCCCAAGTACCTTTCAGAGTTCCGGTGCTGCAGCTCGTTGGTGAAATCTTCCCATGTACCGATGCCCTTCAAAAGAGGGTCATCATCGTCTCCGATCAAAAGACCTCTAAACTTTACAAGGCCCGGCTTTAGGTCAGCAAACACCGTTGGAAAATAAACTGCTTGTTCCACCTTAATAGTACTTTACTCTGTCCTAAGTCGTTTCCCCGAATTTACCAATGTCATTTCTTAAAATAATCTTTTCTGAGGTAGTGTTAGCAAGCAGCAAATCCTCCTGTAGCGTCAAACTAAAATACTGTACAGTAGAATCCTATTACAACGAAAAGTTTGGGACCTTAAAAACGCTTCGTTATATATACGATAATTTGTTGGAACAAAATTGAAGTAACATTGTGGTTATTGGACAGGAACTGGAAACAAATTCGTCTAGTATTAATTCGTTATAACCAGATTCATTAAAACGAGATTCTCCTGTATACATCACATATGTATCCTGTGCTGTATTTACTTGAGTACCACGAGCATCTTTTTCTTCAACATTGACTGGAAAAAGAGGGACCGCGTCGTAGGCGGGAATAACATTTTTAAAATTTATAAAGCTTTCGTGCACATCATGCTTGATTCTGATAGGAAATTTGGAAAATAGAAATGATAGCAAATCAACAGTCAATGTAACTAGAACTAAAATCAAAATTTAAATTCTGATATGGATTATTTTCAAAATATTTTAAAACTCAGTCATTCGTTCAACGCCCGTTATTTTGTGACACATTAGTCTCATGCCCATGTGTTTTTGCCCTGAAGTAGCACATGCACATGTTCATCAGACTTTGGAGGGAATCGATAGTTTCCGCAGCGTGATGAAAAAAGTAATCCCTCCTCTTTTTCAGCAGCTGAGTATACCAAACTGTGATACTGTATTTATTTATATTCGCGGAAATTTTACCTGGCCTCCCTGCAGCAGAACCCGCGGCACCCGTATTAGCAGCCCCGTGATTCCCACTGACGGACCTGGCACATGGGCCAGTTCGGGGATGACCAGCACCGGAAGCCCAAGCGTTTCCCATCGAGTTCGGCGCCGCTGATTCTGGTGACAGTTCCCGCGCGAACCGACGGAACATTTCGTCGTCGTCGTCTTCATCGTCAACGTAGTCGAAATTGATCAGTGACGGCGTATCCTTCGTTTTATTCGTCGGCGACCCTGGCGACTCGGACATGCTGGACCAGCACGGATACTCGACTGCTGCTGCGGCTCGAGTGGCGGATGCCGTCTGCAGTAACATCTTCGGCGTCGTGAAAAGGTTCTCTCGCTGCTGCTGCTGCTGCTGGTCCTGCATCATGTCCTGGTGTCGTAATAACTTGGTTTCACCAGTACCCTATAAGAATGCAATGACTGTTCACGCAGAGGTACCCTGTAGGGCCTAGGAAATTGGGTTATATACCCACAATAATGGATTCGTGCTGAAATCAATTTTCACTTTCGCGTCAGCTGACCCTGAAGCAAATAGCAGACGACTCGTTTGAATTTCCTCTCGGAACAATTTCGGCGACACAGGAAGGAGTATGAAGCAGATGAATATATAAGGAATAAAATCTCATTTCTACCAATAATCGATCAAAACGAAGTATTTATTTGTATGTCCCTGCCCGATAGCCACAATATTAAAATAATTCCTTTATAACGAAATTTTTCGTTACAACGTAGCTATTTTACTGGTCCTAATGGCTTCGTCATAACGAGATTTTACTTTTTTATTTTCTGACCATGATCAAATACTGTGATATGGTGGATGATATGCTAATATAAATAGAGCAGCTCCAATGAAGAAAGGTTGATTTAATTTTTTTTAATCATCAGGCATTTTTTATTCATCACATTATTTCTAAAAAAAATAATCTCTCAAGATTTAGCACAACAAATCAATTTTTGGAGGTTTTACTTGGTTTCACTGTACTACAGGTATTTTTTGTTGGATAATTTTATGAAACGTTTAGAAAACTTAATAAATCAAGAAATCAATCTATGATTTCAGAAAAATAAGAATTTTCATAGTAGTCTAGATGTCCGTAAATATACACAATACTTTTAGTCTCCATCAGGTGAAAGAGTTGCACAATAAAGTGACTCAAGGAAGTTGTTTAAACTTATTGGGACACACTATTATAATACCATCCAGATCTCTTTGAAACTTGGCTGCTGTTCTGTGACTATTGTTTTCTTAAATTGTTGAAAAAAGCACCATATTCTTTGATCAGATCTCGTTATAGCCTCAGGCAAAGATGAACCCTCAATATTCATAAAAATTCAAAACTTTGCAGAAACCCGGAAAAGCACTTCTAAGAGTGGCCTATCGCCTGAAAAAAGATGTGGAGACGACAGCGCCGCAAAATCTGAAAATACTTCTTATTCAAATTGCAAGGCTTGAAAGCAAGATACCCTGCATCACAGAAAGCGTAAGGCAAATGAATGAATAACTATAAAAGTTTCACATATTGCTAAAAACTCTGCATGCCTATGCTTCAACCATTCCTATACAGTAACATTATAAGCATACAACATATTATCTGACTCATGAAAACAGGAATGTGTAAGGGAAGGATCATCAGCTTTTTTGTACTTTGATGAAATGAAGTTCTTATAGGATTGCACTGACAGAATACCGATTTTAAACAACTCTACTGTTTACAAGACTGATTTCAGTGCTCTGCTCATTTGCTTATTTTTTCTTAATTGAAGCCTTAAATTGGAAAAGTTTCTCTTTTCAAATTAATTGTCACTCCCTTCCACGAGAAAAAATAATCCATCCGAATAATTCAAATCAATTCCCTATAATCTTAGAAAATATTCCAGTGTTAATATTTATAAAATTTTCTGAGACATTTTCACCAACAAAATGTGTCAACAAAATTTGCCTAAAATTTTTGGCGCAACTTGATGCTGCCTGCATGTGTTAATTGCCACATTTGAAACTTATAATAGGTATATGTGTCCTTTTTATCCATTTTTTTTAGCTTGGATGAGCAAGCATTCAGAATTTTGTTTTAAAAAAAAAGCATTACAGAACTTCACAAAAATCCAGCCATTTTTGCTCATTTAACAAAAATTATACCAGCGCTGACAATTGAAATTTTGATACCAACTCTAGAATTTGAAAATTTTGAATTGCTGTAACAATCATCAGATTTATCTTTTTTTCTGAATTTATTCGAAGTTATAGTGAGTGTTTTTAATGCCATTTATAGATGGCACCCAAATTTTTATTATTACCATGTTTTTATGAACTCACTTTCTTGTCTGTCTGTTTGTCCGGATCAAATTTTGAA